CCGGCGGCCCGAGCGCGGATGGCCCGCGGCCGCGCCGTAACCGGATGTGGGGCGGAGAGGGCCCGGGCCGGCCGTCGCCTCACCGCCCGCTTTCTCCGGGTTGGTAGCCGGCCCCGCGCCAGCGCCCTCCTCCTGCGCCGCCACGTCCCGGACGCGGCCCCTCGGCCGCCGGATCGCGCGCTCCGAGCCGAACCGGAAAGCGGCTCCTGGGCGGCAGGACGGTAGGCATTACAACGTTTAGGAACTACTTGCCCTGGCCGATCCCTCTGAGACTTGCAGCATTTGGGGCCCATAAGCCGCTCGGTGGAAACGTCTGCACTGAGAGAAGAGCCGAGGCCAGCGTGGCTTCTGGCCAGGTGCCCGGGATGACCCCAGCCCCGTCCCCTATCCCCCCCATTCCCTCCCCCCCACACACACACCTCCAGTAAAACGCCTGCCTGGGAGAGCTCGCTGCTGCCGGACACTGCACGGCTTGCTCTGGCCACCATCTGGGGATGGAGCCCTGACCTCCCCCTAGAGCACGCTCTCAGAAGGGCTCACAATTACGAATCCTTCCTCTGGCCCTCTGAGATGTGTACGTATCTTGTGCAACTCAGAATTGTCTTAAGGACCTGAGAGCCATTCCTTCGAAGAGGGACAGGGCTTGTGTCCCCTCTGCGGGAGGGCGCGAATCCTAGCTTCAGTCATTGGCAGCTAGCAGGCGCCGCGGGCCTGACCACGTTCCTACCGACCAAGCTTTTGTCATTTTTCACTTGAGCTCCCCACCCGCACGCCATTGTCCCTTTAACGGGCCCAGTCACCTCTGCACAAATGGAACTGGAGCTCAGCTTTTTCCCCTAATTCACTAATTGCTGAATAAAATTTGTTTTCATTGCTTTAACTAATGTGTGGCTTTGTTCATCTTTACCAGCGCCATTCCCGCAGGTTCTTCAGTGAGCAGGGGATTTTCTTAGACAAGTTCAGATTTGAGGTTGTTTATTTCTCAAAAAACCGTTCCTTAAATTGGGGCACTGTTCTGGGAACGTTTAAGAAGGCAACCAGTGGGCCTCCTCCCAAATCTGAATCAGTCACCCTCTGGAGGGCGACCCTCCAGGGTGGGAAGAGGCTGGAGGAAGGAGCCAGAGAGGCAAGCTCCCTTCCACTAGCTCCTGTGAAAAGTGAAAGTCAAAACCCACCTGAAACCCCCCTTACCCCCAAAGAGCCCCTGCTTGAAAGCCCAGACCAGTGGAATTCGCTTCTTCAGTAACCACACATTCTCATCATGCTCAGCGGCCAAGACTTCAATTTCTTTTTCCAGCATGGTGTTGTGAATGAGGAGTGCACCTGATTCCTTTTCCTCCCCAGACTCTTGAGGGTCAGAGCCCTCCATCCCCACGAGCCAGCTGTCAGATGGAGGTTGTCTGTAAGTCCATCCTCCTTCCTAGATGGGAGCTCCCAGACAGGGAAAATGTTCCTTATTAAAATATTTGTTCCTTCAACACACATTTATCGATCATTCACCAGGCTTTGCCCTAGACTGGCTCTGGGCATTTAAAGTTTCGAAGAAGCTGCCCCGCCATCCAGGAGCTTAGGGAGATCTGGAGAATGACATCGGAGCAGAGGCATGGACAAGATGCAGTGGAAATAGATGGAAGAGCAGCCGTATCTCAGGACAGTGGTGTTCTCAGAGGAGGGAGCTCTTGAGCTGAGCCTGGAACACATGGAGGGTTGGGCAAGGGTGCAGAAAAGGGGATGCTGGGCCAGAGGAAGGCGCACACAACGCTCGGAGAAATGGAAGGGACGTGAGGATGTGGTGACCAGCAGCTGTTGAGCTTTATGAGCGGGTACCTGCCAATGCAGCAGGTGGAAGGAGTTGAGGCACGACAGCTGGGCGGGGGCCAAATCAAGATGCTCCTTGTCTCAACTTCATATGGAGACACATCGGAATTCTAAACAGCAGGAGACATGGTCAGACTTGGGTGTTGGAAGGCGACACTGACCACTCCGAGAAGGGGTAACCCCAAAGGTGTGTCGATGAGAAGCAAACGCTGTGGTTTGGGCCGATATCAGGGGAAATAACCAGTGGGGATGAGATGCGGATGCGGACAGGAGAGGTAGTGGGGAGACACTTAGCAAGAGGTGGTGACAGACAGAACACTGAGACTGAGGGAGAGAAGGAGGGAAGGAGTCCATCATGACTCCCAGCAATCCGGCCTTGCAGGGGACAGGTAGGGCGTGCCATTCTCTGAGATTAAAAAAAAATTCAAGGGAAGAAGCCGATCTGGGGAGAAAGATGATGAGCTCTGTTGTACACATTGATCTTGAGCCAAGATCAAGAGTCCGACGCTTAACTGATTGAGCCACCCAGGTGCCCCTAAGATTTTATTTTTAAGTATTCTCTACACCCAGTGTGGGCTCAAACTTATAACCCCGAGATCAAGAGTCACATGCTCTACTGACTGAGCCAGCCAGGTGCCCCCAAAAGAATAAAAAATGGAATGAAGCAGTACACTGATTGCTTGAGCTCAGCCAAGTGACCACCTGGCTGAAATTGCAAAATCATCAGTAGTAAGAATCAGCTATTACATACCTGGAACCCTGTGGAATAGGGGAGAGGCTATCCCATTCACAGGACGTGCACTTGAAGTTCTTTATTGGCTTAATAGCTGGTAAAAGGGCTCCACCGGCTAGCCGGGGATAACAACAATCTTCTGGGGTGTCCGTAGCTCCAGAGCCCCCTGTCTCAAGCAAAATATTTGTTCAACTTAAAATCTCATTCACCTGCAGTAAGAGCTCCAAAACTCAGACTTACTCAATGTAATAACAGGAAGATTTAGAATTTACTCTAGACAAAATGCAGTAGTAGAAGTTATTATATTAGTGTTAAACATAGGAATAATCTTTGTACATTTGGTATCTCAAGTATTTGTAATACTTAAAGAGTTTAATATATTAGAGAATAGTGGAGAATATTAGAATATGGAAAAGATTAGGGGAGGGGGTGGGGCAATGGCTGAAATAGGTGATGGGCATCGAGAAGGGCACTTGTGATGAGCACCAGGTGTTGTACGGAAGTGATGAATCACTAAATTCTACACTTGAAACTAATATTGCATATACTCACTGTATGTTAACGGACTGGAATTTAAATAAAAACTTGGAAAAAAAGAATATCTAAAAGATTAACCTTGAGATTCCAATTTAAGTTACATAATTGCTTACTTGATTTAGATTTTTTTGGTGACTAAATATTATAACTACAATATGGCCTCGGTTTGTAAACATATTGAGAACCTAAGATCTTCCATATTTAGACACTTCATTTATTAGGTTATAAGAACTCTGGAAATACTTGGAAAGCTCTGTTAGTCAAACAATTGAAGTACTTAAAAAGAAAAGCATTAAATTTACGAATGCAGTTCAAAAGTCTTTAAGGCCAAACAGTAATCAAAGGCCTGTTTAAAAGTGTTTGTTCAAAAAAAAAAAAAAGAATGATAAAAGAAGAATAATAAACTATGTAAAGTGAGTTTAAAAGGAGATTTTTAGGGTGCCTAGCTGGCTCAGTGGGTGAAGCATGTGACTCAGGTTTTCTTTTAAGTTTTATTTATTCATTTTTAGAGAGAGAGAGAGAAAGCGTGAGTGGGGAGCAAGAAGGAGAGAGAGAACCGAGAGAGAACCTCCAGCAGACTCCCCGCTGAACATGGAGCTAATGGGGGGGGGTGCTGAGATCACACCTGAGCCTAAACCAAGGGTCTGACACTCAACTGACTGAGCCACCCAGGCGCTCCTGTGACTCTTGATCTCGGAGTTGTGTGTTCAAGCCCCACAATTGGCTTGAGATTACTTAAAAGAGATTACTTAAAAGTAAAAAATCTTGGGGCACCTGCGTGGCTTAGTTGGTTGAGCGTCTGCGTTTGGCTCGGGTCATGATCCCAGGTCCTAGGATTGAACCCTGCATGGGGTTCCCTGCTCAGCGGGGAGCCTGCTTCTCCCTCTCTCTCTGCCCCTCTCCCCTACTTGGACTCTCTGTGTCAAATAAATAAAATCTTAAAAAAAAAAAAAAAAGTAGCCTCTTTTTAGGACCTTTGGGTTCATGTTCAAAATATATACATAGTGGTCTTTTGTGACACCCTAGAGTTACTCTATGTGAATTTTGTGTCAGTAAGAATCTGAGTAATAATAATAATAATGGTAATGTTCATAATACCTTGCATTTTATAGGACTTCACAATTTACAGAATGATTTGGCATTCAGTGAGGTAGGGGCTGAAGTTTGAGAGAAAGCTGTGCGTTGCCCTGGGAAGGCTGGGGGAGTAACGAAGACGCTAGGCATAGTGGGGTGTCCATCTATAAAGCCCCCGTTGAGAGGATCGGTCAAGGCAAATTCACCATGGTTCAGAATCTGCCTTTTAGCCTTTTAAAGTAGAAAGTCTAGCTTTTCAGTGTCCGCGGGTTGACTGGACTCAAGGACACTAACCTCTGCTATTAAGATTCACAGGAGACTGATACTGAAAACATCCATGCTGTTTTACTCATTCACAGTAAGAAATATCGCCTCATGCCCACAAGCATGCACACCAGTGCGACCAATAGTGCCCAGTGAGGGCGGAACAGGGAGAACCTGCTCCCAGGGTAACTTGTGTGTGAGCCAGGCACCTCCTTCAGGCTGCCAGGAGGAGACACGTCCAGATTGTTAGAGGTGGGGTTGGGGACAGATACCAGGGAGGTGATGCCTCAATTGCCAAACAACAGTCCCAGAACTTCCCGAGGTTGAGAGCTCAGGAGTTTTCGAGAACAAGGACAATGGCCGATTGTTGTCCAAGAGACAGC